CAAGGGGCCTCCGCCATCACCCCCGCCACCACCACCACCAACAATGGGAGGCTACTGTGGAGAAGATGCAACATAATTTGCTATGTGGCCACACTACTAGGACGACTTTATCTTATTCACATGGCACATCTATGTGTTTGTTGTTTGGTTTAATTACCTAATGCATGTTAGGTTTAGTCGAAGAAACTCTGTATCCTAGTTCGGTACATGTTCTCACATGCCATTTCATGTGTTTTGTGTGTTAAATTATATAATGCCCTACTTCGTTAGGTTTTGTTTGCAGCACGTGATCACAGTTCACTACGTCCGCAATATTAAGCTAAATATTATGGCCACAAATAATGAAAACAACCACATAATGAAAAGTCCAATACTATACCACATTAAACAACACAATAATACTAGAAGTACGTGCCGATAGTAGACAATATTGTTCATGAATAAACTATAGAACTAGCAAGTCATGGAGACTACTGAGTGCAACGAGGCCACTTTTTCTTCCTCAGGGCATCGGGATTCTCCTCCATCGCTGCTTTCACTCGGTGCGCACGCTCAAGCTTCTTCTCCCTCTCCTCCCTGTACGCAGCAACACGCCTCCTTTCCTCCTCTTCCTTGTGCTCCTTTTTTGCAGCCTCCTCTCCGCGTCTCTTCTCCATCATCCCCTTGTCCTCTGTCTCCTACCGCAACCGTTTCTACATCTATTCCTTGTCTTCAGGCTTGATCTCAGTGTCGATCCACTGCTCAAAATCACATAGCGGTGGAGGGGTCTACAAAAACTGCAATTGTTATAAAATAAAAAAATCATGCAAGATGTCATATGACACAAACATCAATTCATCACCATCTTGTTAATGCGGCGCTGACGAAGTGTAGGCTCAAACGCAAAATTGGAACACATCCAATACCTCTGTCTATACGTGTCCTCTTCATCGGACTTGGCTACCTTACAAGGATCGCCGCACAAGCACATGGGCATTGGAACACCACTAGGCAGAGGCAATGGGTCGAAGGCATTTTCGGTCATCCGGCCATAACTACAATTCAACTAATTTCGTTCTAAGAACCGAAAGCAATTAACATTAAACCCTAAACCTAGGGTTTTCCATTTGATGCACAACAATGAACCCATAACATAACAACATGCGCTGAGGTTACCTTGGTTTGCTAGCTTTTTCACGCCTTGGCATCCTACGGTTGTATAATACAAATATTAAAAATTGCATGAAACCCTAAGTAATGATGATTCTTAGATTGAAAAATCCGACTAATATATATCGAATCAATGCAAAAAAAACTAGGAGGGGAGCGAGGATACCTTGCTCTCGAAGATCTACGGATCAAATCAAAGTTTCAAAGGTCCAATATGCCGATTCATGAGGTAGGGCGAAGTGGGGAGAGAAAAAAACCCGAGAGGGAGGAGAAAGAAGAGGAAGAAGGCTCGGGCAGGAAGGTTGGGGGCGGGGTTAAAACACCACCTCGGCGCCATAGATCCTGGCGCCAAGCTCGGCGCCAAGCTGCCTGCCAAGTCAACGCCACGTCTGCGTCGAGCCTAAGACCTCATCGCCAGCAACGATGGCGCCGAGAAGTGTAAGCTCGGCGCCAACAACGATGGCGCTAAGCTAAGGGTCCAGATTTTAAAATCTTACCTCCAGGGGCATATTTGTGAAAAAAATTCAAAAAAAGCTAAAAATAAAAAATTCGGGCTTAGTCACATCATCCATTATAAAAACTCATTCTTTCTTATCAAGAAACTACTCCATCGTTCCAAAAGAAGGGATCTTATAGCATTTAAATTTGAGCTTCTCACTTTCTACTGCATATTTCTTTTTTCTCAATACAACTTTATCTTTTCTCGATACATCTCTATTCCAAGCTATTTAGAGGCATTTTGATCTTTCGACTTCAACAATGGTTTTTGTGAGAAATTCTAAAATGTCATTTAATATGAGACGGAGAGAGTACTTTACATTTATGTCAAGATTGAAACTTCGCCTGTTGTCATGATTTTTAGTACTCCCTCCATCTATAAAGAGTATCATTCTAGCATTTAAATTTTGTCTCACAAAAAGTGTTGTTCTCACTTTTAAATGCATATTTCTCTTCTCCAATGCATTTTAACTCTTCTTCATGTTTTCTATGCACCACACCTCTTTAATTCCCATGCTTTGATCGATCTAGAATGACATTTAATATGGGACGGGGGAGTACTCACTAACAATAATTTCTCCAACCAAAAAAATATAACTTTTATTTCCTGAGGAATCAAACAATTCTAATTTTGACTAGATTTTTATAGAAAATAGTATCGACATTTATATCTTCAAATAGGTTTATCGTGAAAATATATTTCAACTAATCTTGTGATATTTATTAAGAATGCATATAAATTAATATTTTCACATATTAGGTCAAACTTTGGATTACCTGACTCCTCTGGAAGTGAGACTTTTTCCTTTTTTTTTTCAAGGAGTGCGTAGATGGGAACCATCCTGTCATAACTGTCTAAAGGCGGTCACCCATTTGTGATAACTGTCTAAAGCCGGTCGCACTCGACCCCAGCAACGTCCTTCCTCGCGCTCAGTCTGACGAACTAGCAGCTCGGCTTCGCAAGATGGCAAAACATCAATGTATAGAAATTGTCCAATGAGCAAACTGAAAGCTGACATCATGCTGTTAGAGTTCAAATCGATAAACGGATTGAGTGATAAAGGCTTCGATCAGTCATCTACGTAGCATTTGTAATGTTTAATATTGATGGACCTATCGTCTACGTAGCGTATATAAAGCGAAACCCGATTCTACGAAAAAATATAAATTAAAATAAATTATAAAACAATAAAATGCGAACGGTCCATCACTGCCGGTTAGAAACAAATCGGTAGTATTGTCGTGACCATCACAGCCGGTTATCAACAAACCAGCAGTGTTATCGTAACCATCACTGCCGCTTAGCAACAAACCGACAGTGTTGGCTTTCTCAACACTGCCGGCTTGAGCCATGAACCGACAGTGTTGGCTTGCTCAACACTACCGACTTGAGCCATGAACCGACAATGTAGGCTTGCTCAACACTGCTGGCTTGAGCCAAGAACCGACACTCTTGAAGCAACCATCACTGTCGGTTGGAACTACAAACCGGCAGTGTTGTTCAACTGGACACTGCCGGGTGGAGCTAGGAACCGACACTGTTGCCTGTAGATCAGTGTCGGTTTTAAGAACCGACAGTGATATCAAACCCCCATCACTGCCGGTATGCCACTGTTGATTCAAAATCCGGCAGTGAAGGGGGGTTTTGAACCGACACAGATGTCCATATCTAAGGTAGAGGCAGCTCAGCTTGGATGGACAATGCATTCGTAATTTTCCCATCTTTGGAAAACTTCTCTACATTATTGCATTGCGGCGATATCTTGGAAAAAGATTCTATACTTTTGCATTATTTTTGCATGAGTTCCGGGCACGCATCAGCTTTTGGAGTCCGAAAGATCTAATTAATTAAGTTAAATAGACGATATAGGAACATTTTCCATCTCCTGCAAGCAAAGGGCGTATAACTCGTTGTTTAAAGCCATTTTTTTTAAAAATGAGATGACATATGTGGGTCCTCGATATCACTCATTTTGAATGGATAAGAAGTCTTGCTCATAATTTATAACAACTTCGAAGATGGTACTCACTCGGAGATATCACCCTTTAATTTAACTCACTTTTCAAATGGTTAGATGTCCTGCTCATAATAGAATTAAGCAAATTCGAAGTTCATTCATTTCCTAGTCCGATCAGATTCGATTAACAAAACATATTCAAGACTTAATTTGTATTGTGCATGCTATATTTCATCATTCCACCCTCAAAACAATCGGTCAGACACATTTTTCGGCTCAAGTCACAGTTCTATCGTTGAAAAAGATACTAAAACGTCATGTCCTATAAAGAAGCTAAATTCTTTTTACACCTTTAACTTATTAGCAAAGCGTCACTTCAATTATTAGTTTTATTTAAAATCACTTTATATAATACAATTTTAGTATTATTGTTATACGTAATGAAAAGTGACATCGGTGAACGTCTGCCATACATAATCAAAAGTGATATCATTGGACATTGTCCTCCCCGGAAGTCACCCACTATCTCAACTCAGCCGCAGGAGTGAAGCTTCCTGTACTCTCTCTCTCTCTCTCTCTCTCTCTCTCTCTCTCTCTCTCTCTCTCTCTCTCTCTCTCTCTCTCTCTCTCTCTCTCTCTCCATAATAGCATGCTTAGCTTTCTTTTCGGCTAAATAGGCCACCCTAACCTCGTCGGTCTCCTCCTTAACCTCCCTTCTTTCTTGGTCCACGTCCATTCCCACCGCACCTCCTGCGCTCTCTTTCTCCCTCTCGGCTCTCTTCTCGCTCCTCCCGACTCCTCACCAGTCACCACAACGCTGGTAGGCACTTCTGGCACCTTTCAGATTTATTTACTCACCGTGTTGCTACTTGTATCAACTTCTGATCGATTTCGTTCTCTCCATGGTTTCTTCCCGGACAGAGCGTTTCGGACGGAGCAGCGGGCGGGCTTTCTCGGCGGACTACAGGTAACGAGGATCTGCAGTTCAGTTTCTTGTCCCAGAGCAGTAGTAGTATCTCTCAAACTCTGAAAAACATTCCTACACGAAATCAGGGTCCAGAATCGTCTTTTCAGTTTGGGACACCTTGATCTCCAGCAGTCCAATAATAAGATCCATCTGCTGTAGTAATAATACATATATCCTGGTAGAACAACCTCCAATTCGTGAGAATAGATAACCATCTTCTTCTAAAGTTTCTTGACGTTATATATGTTTTCTTACAGATGGATAATTATCGAGCACACGACGAGGAGGATGACCTGTGGATGATGTGGATCCTACAAATTCTGGAAGGGCCCCGAGATGAATCAAACCTAAATGATTGCTTATCAGGTAGGTATATATGTACGATGTTTAGCTGTTACTGTCAATTCCCAAGGGTTCTCGGCCTACACATGCCGTTAATATGGCATTATCTATGGCTTGGAAGGACATTTATAGATCTTTTTCCCTCTGCAGGTGATTTTCGTCGTCCATCTCCTTCGCTGGACACAAATGCCCATCGTCAGGTATGCTGTTATGGAATTTGTCAATCTGATATTGAGATGTTTAATTTTAAAGACCTGGTAGATTTGTGCACAAGAACACTTTTCACATACAATTGACGGTCGTCAATCTCTTCATGGCAGACGGAACGTAGGAGAAGTGGCCGAAGAGGGACTCGGGAGAGAAGGACGTCTCCATGGGTAGGCACATGTTTACGAGAAAATCCTTATATATATACCATTGAAACTTATTATACTTGTCCTTTGCATGCCATTGAAAATTTAGCGTTTCCTTGTCACCACAGCTGTTTTAGGTTTTCCCGTCTCCTGTCTGCCATGCATTTTAGCGGATTCCATTAGTCTCTGACTCTCAGTCACAGTTGTAGCAGTCGGTGTGTGTGTGTCAGCTCTATACAAAAGATGACCAAACTGCATGCCCTAGCCTAGTCTACTTCTCCACCATTGAGGTGTTTCAGCAAAGGGAACGTGCCGTGGCCCCAGGCCTCAGCGTCCCGCTGGCATGATCCATTGAGATTGGAAACAAAGTACGCCTGCTGCTAGGCTGCAGCGGCGACGATGCGGAACTGCCGATGGCAAGGTCGGAGGCGGTGCCCACCCACGTCCGTGTCCAGAGCGACGCAGCACGGAGGCGCTCCGCTTCCTGCCTTTGCCTGGCCACACGGCGTTCTTATTTGGTTATTATCATCAAAGATTGTCTTGAAACATTAAGTTTAATATTTTCGTCGCACCCTCTTTGTGTTCAGATTCTTTCTTAGCCTATATATCACCCATCAGGGAAGAAATAAATTCAACATTTCTATGACTACGTTTTGGATGTTTGACAGGATCCGATGTTCTTTGAAAGACGTGTTAGTAGAGAATACACAAGTAGGAAAAACAACAGACGGTGGAGTGCTAAAGAAGTGGAGAGGCTGGTACAAGGTGTCTCTAAATTTGGTGCTGGACAATGGACCCAGTTGAAGCAGAATTTTTTCAAAACGTCAATTAGGACAGCAGTAAATCTTAAGGTAAAGTAGATTAATGACACATGCTCAATGAAGTAAATCCATTATATTCTGGGATGCTATTGGCTAATATCATACTCTTATATGTTGTTTTTCATGGCTCAGGACAAGTGGAGAAATCTATTGAAAGCTTACCAGGCCAGAATTCCATCTATATAAAAGTCTTGCATTGTTTTCTTAACTTCTAACAAATAACTTCTAAGTACATTTCTTGAATTCAATTCAGGAAAATTCATCACAACAAACTACGCTACTGTATCTTGAGCCATCGTTGGTGGAGCGGATCAGGAAGCTAGCAGCAAAACAACCAGCATATGCAAATAAAAGGCACAGATAAGAATGACCACTAGCTAATTAGTTATTGTATAGGCTCTAGCATGGAGTTAGCCCTTATCTAAAAGAGAAGGGAACAGTAGAAAGCTGGTTATTAATGAAATGGAGGCAGTGTTTTGGATGTGAGCAAGCTGAATTTTTACTTTTCTCCATCTATGTTCTTTGTAAAGACCAAAACCACTCTCTGTAACACTGTTTGATGGTTCGAGGAAACTTAGATTGTTCCATGACTACAACGTACATTCACTCTAAAGTGTCTTTAGTCTTCGTGTTCATCCCTTGCATGCGCCGACATACTCAATTAGACACCAAGTCTTGAGCCAAGTTACTTGTGGCCATTCACAGTGTGACTATGGTTGGGTGGAACCACTACTGCAAAACAAGAATATCCCTGACGGTGGTGAACCTTTTGTAACGGTGTACGTATAGCACCCATTGCATATATACCTATAGTGCCATCAGCTCCTCCAAAGTTTAGAAACTGGTTTCTCCTATCATAAATTTCTTCTTCATCGAGTATAGAAAACCTCCCGGCCTGTGACAAGGTAAAAAAACGATGCTCCCACCCTACACATGCATGCATGTGCATCGCGCGCGCTCGCGTGATGACTGACTGCTACGGAACCGGACCCTGCTGGATGCATGCATGATGCGGTGTAGTTTTGGTAATTGTTCTCGAAATGAAATTAATTAAGCAGGATGGATTTGAGCCAAGGAAACTTCCCGGAAGCCGGCGTAGTAACCATTTTGGCAAAACACTAGCTATGTGACTTTGCCCTAGCAGGCTACCAAACGCGTGAAATGTCACTCTCAGGCATCATGCGTCATTAACTAAAAGGGAAGGGAACAGTAGAAAGCTGGTTATTCCTTAATGAAATGGAGGGAGGATGGTTTTGGATGTGAACAAGCTGAATCTTTTACTTTTGTCTATCTGTGTTCTTTGTAAAGACCAAACCAGGACCCTGACCAAAACCACTCTCTGATTGCGATTTGCATAGGTTCTCGATCGGTACGTGGCAGGCATGCTTTGGATTGGACCACACTTTTTTTCTGCTGATAGTTTTTGTCAGTTGGATTGGATTTGATCGTGTCAGTAGTCAAAGTGTGATGGTGACATATATATTCCATGGATGATGGCATGATATGAAGAATATGTGCCCTTTCCTTTTTTAAAAAGCCTAATGATCGATGTTCTCATTTCTTCCAATTAATCTAATGACTACTTCCTGGATCCTTGAGTAACTCAATTCCTATAGTCGTTTTAAGGAAATTTTTTATGTTTGACAAGATTTTTAAAAATAAATGCATAAATGTTTATAACACCAAATAAGTTTGGTACGTACGGTACCCTGGCTGCATGCATGTCAGCATGTAGTAATAATGATAATGACGTGGTGTGTTTTGAAACGAAATTGAGCGCTGTAGCCTGTAGGACGGAGCCGATCGATGATCGAGCCAATGCAAGGACGAAACTTCGCGGAAGCCGGCGCCGGCCCATTTCGGCAAAACACTAGCAACGTGCCTTTACCCTAGCAGGTTGCCAAGTGTGTGGAATGTCACTCTCAGGCATCATCATGTCATGCATCGCTAATTACAAACGCTGATAAACATGCAGCAGCGCATCTGTTCATGCATGCGTGCAGGGGACTGTATGCCTGCCTTGCCTCCCTCGCGCTCGCCGCCACCAGCCCACCATGCACTACTCGTCCACACGCTCGCCGACCGCACTCGCTCGGCTCGGGCAGGGGCCAACTCGGCACAAGATGCATGGATGGAGGTAGTAGGAGCAGACACACTCGTCGATTTGGGCAGACGCACAACTCCATGGCTTGCATTGCAGGGACAGATGATGCACACATCCCTATGATGGGAAGAGAGCTATGGTGGGTATCGATTTGGGAGTGAGACAAGAGGGGCAGATGTGGCTGCCCAGGGATGTTTTAACGCCATTAGAATCAAACTCTAGTGTGCAATGGTGTATAGGGGAATAAAAATTATAAACTAATGACAACAAAGGAAACCAATAAATTTAGATGGCAATAAAATGATTTTTTTAATACAACCAACATGTATTACTTTTAAACGAAAATGTACATACAAACATGAGAACACACTAGAAGGGTATAGAAGAAGGAACGGCTGTCCAGACCTGCTCACACCGAAGAACCTAGACAAAAAAAAAGAAAAAAAAAAGAAATTTCAAGTAAGTCCTTGGAATCTTCTGTACTACCTGAAGATGTGTTGCCTTTGGGAAGCACCTTTCGGCGTTGGAGAACACAATGACGAGACGGAGGTGGTGACAAAGGGACTTATTCCAAAGTTGCATTGCTCTTCTGTACTACCTGAAGATGTGTTGCCTTTGGGAAGCACTACCTTTCGGCGTTGGATAACACAATGACGAGACGGAGGTGGTGAAAAGGGACTTATTCCAAAGTTGCATTGCTACCACCACCCGAGACACCAAAGCTAGAACTATGACCTAATCTACCAGCACACTAGGGATCTACGCTCTGCCCTCCTCTCGAAGGCACAAAAGCCATCGGAGGCGAGGAAGATCGCGAATCCTGGCGTGGAAATAGAGGACCCCTCGGCTTGCTTTTTCGTTGGCTGAGGAGGAGTTGGAGAGGAAGGGATAATTGGCAATAAAGGGACCTGTATAGCTTTAGATGGCATTGAAGGAATTTTCTTGAGAATAAATAATAAGGCAGCACGCCAGATTTCGTAATCAATACCGGGTCGAAATCCTAGCCAGGTGATAAAAAGAAAAAAAAAATGTGTTTCCAGGACTCAAACCTAGAACCTCAATGTTTGCATTCTCCTGAACGTCCATACCAGCTAGAACCTCAATGTTCACATTCTCCCGAAGTCCAAACCAGCTAAACTACGCGACACTCGTGACTATACAACTAATGTTGTTCTTTTAACTACATAATTTCAAATCTTATATTGTATATTTGACACTCTAAATAAACTCAAATGAAAAAGGTACTTACTGGAAAGTTGTAGATCTCGTCAAGTACTACAACTTCGATGTTGGCTTTGTGTTTTTCGATATTGTTAACATCTCAAATCCGATCTGAGAACTTATATTGAATATTTAGACATGTACACTACTACAGGATGGCCTTGTTGTTCCGGACGGTAACGGCCTTTATTCCCGGTTACCGCGCCGGGACAACGATCCCGGAACTAAAGGTGGAACCTTCAGTCCCGGGTCATCGAGCTGGGACTAAAGAGGGACCTTTAGTCCTGGTGGTGTTACCAACCGGGACTAAAGGCCCTCCAGCCGAGCAAACGTGGCCGCACCCTTTAGTCCCGGTTGGTAACCCCAACCGGGACTAAAGGTTCCTTTTCTTTTTCTTTTTTTTTGTTTAATATGTTTTCAGTTCAGTTACACATATTTGTTTAATATATAATATGTTTTTATGTACGTATTCTACGCTGCTAATATAAATACATGCACGCATATATATAATTACATCTAATTCTCATCTCGAGCATTATTATATTCGAATAAAGTATGAAACTATATATATTATAGATATATATGTATATATACAACACTTTCATAATCTTGTTCTCGAAAATAACTATATCAATAAACATTTAATTTACATCATTTATTCCTCAGGATCAAAGTAGAACTCGCCGTTGGGATTTAGCACTTTTTCTAGAAGAAATCCTGCTATTGACTCTTGAACTGCTTTCAGATGGTCTTTTTGCATGACCCTTTGTTTCAACCATTCAGTCTTGCATTTGAAATAAAAGGAAAAGTATTAATACATATATATATATATTCATTTAAAAATAAATAAAAAATTGATATATACGTACTCTGAGGACATCTTTAGGAGTTCTTCTTATGTGCGCAATGATAAATTCACAAACGTAGTATCCACACAAGTTATTACCTGGTTGCTGCCGCAAACACCACTGTACGAGAAGAAGATTATTCTCATCATCTCACACGTAAATTGAAGTACGATATAGTAATTAAACACGTAGGGAAGTATATATAGTACAACTTACTGGTATTTTAACTACATTAAGTGGTGCCTTGCAATCCTTGCGGTGTTGCCGAATAAACTCTTTCCAAACCCTGTGCGACCAATAATGTACGATCGTTAATAAATTATGACAAAGTCTATTCAATAATAGTTGTGCGCGAGAGATCGAAATTACCCTTGGATAATGTCTATCATATCTTGGTATAGTGCCCGCTCTTTTCTCTTCGAGTCCAAGATTACTAACCGACTTGAGTTTAACTCAATGACAATAAGTATCCAGTAAAACCTACATTGGTTTATACACACACGTACATGCATATAAGTTGTATTGATATTACATAAAATGTGTAGACTAGATTATTATTAACACTTACTCAAAGCTGTACGGGAAAAGTATTGTTATCTTGTCGTGCTGCTTCACGAAGAACCTCATAATATTCTTCTGTGCTTCAGATACCCACTGCTCCTTGGGAATAATATCGGTTTTGAATACGATATAAGGATCAATGAAGCCAACACTGGTGTCTTGTATTCTTTGGAGCTCTGACATCTGGAATCTGTATATAAATATAAGTTACATGTGAGGATAATTATATACAGGAAGTTAGTTTATTAAATAAAAGTAAGAATCACTTACAAACAAAAGGAGCTAATGATTGATTTGTCCAGAGCGTCCATGTGGCATAGTTGATGCAATTCTTCGAAACTAATATGTAAGATGTCATCACCACGGAAGTAATGATGGTCTCTAAATCTGACAAAGATCCACTCCTCACCCCTGCCACACGCCTGCATGTATCACTTGTTGAGCAAGTACATTTGCGTACTCAATTCATTTAGAGCTGCAGGGTTGTACAGACTTTTGCCAAATTTATAAGTCTTCCAGGTATCAACTTCTAGGTTCTGGATTGGAGCTTTGCCCATCAATTGATCCAAGGTTAAACCAGTATCTTTAAAAAAAGCATTAAGGTCTTGAACCGACACTTCTCCAGAGTTG